TGTATGGAAATAGTTTTATTGACCTTTCTTGAGTTCAAAGCATTCGTGATATGTAAGTCATGAGAACAGAATGTGCCTGTGACTGACAGCTCATTTGCAATGAGCTTTTCTGGGTCTGTGGCACAATTTCAATAGCAGCTGTAATCATTGTGGCTGAAGAGTTTGGATGTGTGTGTGCTTTGGTGATTTTTTTTTTCTTTTTCTTTGTTGATTTAAATATTACTATGGATTTTTTGGGGCGCAAATCCGATCTCAATTTTACTACTTTTTGCTGTAGCATTAGTATGCTGATTTCAGAGCAATAGCTCCTGTAGCTTGTGGTTATATCACTATATTAGCAGAATAAATGCTTTTTTTATTGCTCATGAAATTATATTTTCTTCCCAGACAACGACTAAATATAAGTGGGTAAAATTGCAGTAACAACTAGAATCCTAATGTAATGAAGATTTGCTGGTGTTTTGATACTAATATATATTAGGCCAATTTTACAAGGTTTGATTATTCTTACAACTAAGAACCATCTTCCCTTTCCTTCCCTTTTTTTAAAAGGCATAGCAACATAATTGGTAAGTATTAAGTATTGCTGTTTCTGAAATGAAATTAGTCATCTTTGTTATTTAGTGATAAATAATGAGAGAAAATTTGTTGGTTGCATAGTTGCTGTATGTCTCAATGTTTTCTTTGGGGAAAAAAAATTTTAAAAAAGGAGAAAGAAAATGCCAGCCAGTGGCTGGCAAAAACACTAAGGGTTTGTAGTGGGTTGTTTTGGGGGGTATGAGAAAGTGAATAGGAAAATAATTTTTAATGAGAAAGTAATTTTCTGTTTCCTGACCATGATTTGTACCAGTTGCTGGAGTATAAAATAAGAGTTAAAATTTAAACAAATGGTAAAAGAAGTGAGGTTACTGAGGTGTGGGGTTCTCACCTGAGATTTTAAACTTTGAATTGTGATTTTTTTTTTACCATATCATTAAGCATATCTCAAAAATATAAAGAGTCTTCTGTTGGTGCTTTGCTCCCTGGACTTGATTTTCAGGTTTTCTGTAAGGTATTTTTGAGCAGAAGTTCTTTAATCTCCTGTTAATGTGACACATTCTAAACTGCAAGATAGTGTTTTACTGTGGTGGTCTTTGTAAATAGGAAATGGGGTGCCAGTAAAGAGCTTCAGGAAGGAAATTTTGTTGCTTAACTAGTAAAACCACTGTTCAAGGAGTGCTTCTCTGGAATCATTAACTCAGTTTAATAGGGTATTGGACCTACAGTTGCAGAAAAGTTTTGTGAAAACTCTATCATTAGGCCCCTCCAAAGAGCTGTCAAAAGCATAGCTTGCAGCAAAATCCAAGTATTTGAATTTTTGTGACAAATTGTGACCATTAGTCTGCATTGCATAGAGTGGAATTTGCATAGAGTGGAATTTGCATAGAGTGGAATACTATGGCACTTGAAAAATAAGTTGCAATTTTCAAAAGACATCACGTTTCTTTAGTAGGTGGAAGTGTAGCTGGATTTGGACTCAAGATAGAATTTCAGTTCAGCAAATACCAGTGTTTGAGTTTGGTGGAATTATCTGAGCAAAAAGCTGAAAAAAGCAGCAAAACTGAAACATTTCAGCAGGTGAGTGGGATCATTTTAGAAAGAATTTTATCATTTAGAAAGCATTTCATCATGGAGGATTGAGGACTGTTGGCCCTTTATAAATATTTTTAAATATAAACTTTGGGTTCCTCAACAAAACCATATTTATTTTTAATTTCTATTTGTAATATATGATCTATAGGCCCTGCCCCGATATGTTTATGGCTGATAACATTTATCAGCTGTAACAATGAGACATCACATTTTTGAGTTTTAGCATTTTAATTACGTGTATTTGACTTAGAGTGCTTGTGCATCTCATTTCATGGACAAATAAATGTATATCATAAATCAGAGAAAATCAGAAAAAGAATCATCTTTGATGTTGTGCCTTTTATGGCCTTGAGTTTGAGACTCAAATAATTTTCTTCCATTCTTAAATTTTCATGACTCAGATGTGACTTCAGTGTAAAGGCCGAACATGAACCTCCATAGAATATTTTTTTTTTAGGAACAAAATAGTTACCATTGTATTTCAATCACATCCATAGCTGTTAAAGTTCATATCATTTGAAAAATTTATGGACAATATATTACAGGGGAGGACTGCAGTGCGATAAGAGAGCACAGGATATTAAAAGAGATTATATATAAAAAAAAAAGGGGAGATTTACTGTACTCAGGAACTGCAGCATAGATGTGGAAAAATGAAAATGGAAAATTAGCTTGCAGATAAAAACCTCCAAACAGTTGAAGGTCAAACACTGACAAATTTTGCATTTGAGTGATAGATGGGCCTTTGTCCCTTTCCCCAGAGTTCTCCTGCTCTCTGTGCTTCCTGCACAGTGCCCAGGAAGGCTGAGATAACTCCCTTAGTCCTCTCCTAAGGCAGCCTGTGGGTACCTTTGTCTCTGGACCATGGTTGATAGAGGCAGCAGTGCAATATACATTTTTCCTGGCATTCCTGAAAAGTGAATTTCAGTCTGTTCTCCTATTATGAAATAAAACAGCCGGGCAGGGGGGGGATAATCTGCCTTTTTGTTTCTTAGCACCAGCCAGTCTTTTTCACCGTGAATTATGTGTTTCTCTATATGTAATCGACACCACAGTTCACAGTATCTCTGAATTTGTTCCACTTTGTCATAAATACCTGATACTTCATTGTCCTGTGGTTTTTAGCCTCCTTGTGCAAATGCAATGAATAGGATTTTATCTTTTTTTTTCCCCTGTAAATACTGATTTACTCAAAGCAGATGTTTTGTGACAAATAATTTGAGGATGTAGCGTGGAAGAGACATGAAGTAAAGCTTCTTGAGAGCAGCATTGTCTGGAGAAAAAAGTAGAGGCATCTGGATGAAAAAATAATTCCACAACATTGGTGCCATCCTAGTTGGAAAAATAAATATTTTTATTTTGATGAAATTTACTGACAGAAATTTATTTAAGATGACTGTGACATTACAGTGGAGTTTGCAGTATAGTTTATTATACTAATTTGTTTTATGGTAAGATTTCGTTAGTTTCTAAACAATTTCTGGATGTAATAAAATAAGAGTGAAATACTTGTAGGTAACTCTAGTACTAAAAATGAGTGCTGTGAGACCTATAAGAAATGGCTCGGGATGAAAAGGAACAGGTGGATCAGAAACAGAGGAAATCTTTCAGAGACCAGTAGAAAAGCTCATTCCTTACGCCCTCTACCCCAATAGCTTTATAGCTGTGAGAAATGTGGTTGGTAAATAAAGAAGAGAAGGAAACACTGTGCCTTACCATGCTGCTGCTGAAGTGTGTGGGTTACAAGACTTGCTGTTCTTGGATCACCAGCAAGATATTTCACCTCCCTGTTCCTAAAAATGGGAGTGTGTGGCTGGTGCTTCAAGCAGCAAAGTTGTATTTCAACACTGCTGTAGAAAGCAACAGCATAGAATATGTCTTCAACTTATTTTTGCATCTCTTTCCTGCTACCCAATACATAAAATATATAAAATAAAACTAGTTAGAAGAACTGAGGCCATAAATGGATACTCCAATGACGCAACCCGTTAGGAAAGAGGGTTCGACCACTTCAGAGTAGAGGCAAAAATGGTCCTTTATTGAGAGGAGAATCAGACTTAAATAGGGTCCGGAGAGAAGATACTGGAAAAAAGGGGAGGAGTCTGGGAGGAGCATGCAAATACAAACCAATGGAGGGAGAATAAGGGCGGAGATATTTAAACAAGAGATTACTAATGAATCAGATACTGCAATGTGGCATTTTTGATCCAATCGCAAACAAAGGCGCGAATTGAGGTACCAAACAATGAGGGACATGTGGTTAACTGACAATCAAAGGGATATTATAAGGCAATAATATTCCAAACATTCAACATCAACATTACTGATAAATATAAAGTGCTTTAACAATCCAACTCCTGAAACAAAGGTAGAAAAGGTGCATTCTTTTGGTGTTCCAAGAATTTCCTCGCAGATTTCTATATTTGCCTTCCATTGCTCGTAGACACAATCCTGTACAGCACACTTCTCCTGGTCTCCCACACTCCAGCACTGTAGACCCCCACCTCAGGAGCAGAGAATGGAAACAAGAGTCAAATCCATTCTCTGAAGGACTGATCTCTACTAGTTCCATCTTATTAGTCATAGAGCTACTGGAGCAAAATGTGTGAGATTAGTGGAAATCTCATTAGTATTTACATATTCAATAGTTTACCTCAGCTACTTAAATCTTACTGGGGTTATTTTTGGAAAGAAGCTAATAGATCACTAAAACTGTGGTCAGAAGGTGCACTTCATGGTATTTGGTTGTTTTTTAGCTTTTTCATAGGGAATTTGTGGAATGTAGCTGCAAGAAAAAAGATTGTGCTGTTTTTGCTTGTTCTGTTTAGCAACCAATATGTAAGTATGCTGGAACAAGCTATTTGTTTCAACTTAAGCCACTTTGTTCTTTCAAGGAATGCAGGTGGTCTTCCTGCTTGGCTTTCTTCTCAGTACCTGCCTCATTTTAGACCTTCTAACCAGGTTCCACACCAAGAAGCAAAATAAAATGGGAAAGTAAACCACTTTTCTATCCCCTGGATGAACAGGTTGGATCCCTGAAGTACATGTTCTTATATGTTGTACAGCCTAATTTTAGAACTCCAGCTAATGGGGGTCCTTTGGGAGATCTTTTCTCGACCAGCTTTATATCTCTTGCTCTTATGAATTATTTGCTGATAATCAGTGTCTTGTTTCTTAATGGGATTTTTTTTTTAATGAGTGCTTTATGAATTTTACCCTGGTGAATCACACAAAGTAAGTCCTTTTGTATTCCTTTAAATGGCTGTCATATGATAATTTTGGTTTTGCTTTGTTTAGTGAAAATATGTAGCTCTCTAACTCCAATTTCTTGTATCAGTCTACCTGATTTCCATTTTTTCTTTGGTTTCTTTGTCAATGTTGAACTGACAAAGTGTTTCTAATAGTGAAAAACAAAGTCACTAGTCAGTCCCCTAGGTTTGAACTGATAATTATGATTTGAAGGAATCTAGAAAGTTTTTCTCCATAATAAGAGATGATCCACAATGAAGAAAAAGTCAAATGACTATGAGAATGTGAATGTGTGAATTAACAGTGGTTGCAAAGGGACTGCTTGAATGAATGCAGTGGATCATATAAAGTGCTTAAAAAAACCCATAGTACTTTTTTTAAAATAATATTTTATTAATTATTTCATAATTGCTTGGATTCAATTTGTACACAAAACTGAAATTACACTGAGCTGTGGTAAATTAGAAATATGGCGATAGTAAAAGAGGGATTTATATTTGATTTGTTTAATATTTGATTTATACAGTAAGCAGGAATGCCAGGCACTGTTTATGACTTGAAGGGAAAATAGCTGTTTCATATTTTGATATAATCTAAGGAAATCCTCCTTGTTCTGGGTACATAAGAACCCTTCTAAGTTTGGGCCTTTGCAATTTGATTATCTATGACTCCAGCATATTTGAATTAGAGAACAACAGGAAATTTCATGAGTCTTTTTCATAAATATTTTAAAGTAATAACTATAGTCTTAACCCTGCAATTTAAAAAATGTGATTCTCCATAAAAAAGCAAATTAAGCCAGTACAAGATTTAAACAACTGATTTCAACATAAACTGGTTGCTGTGTAACTGAACTTGTAATACTTCCATTTTATGAAAATTGTATCTTTTCATTTGCCACTTTAAAAAAACAACGTGACAAATAGAAAACAAAGTTGTTTTATTCTAAACACCTTCCATTTTTTTATTGTTTCAGTGATTAGCATGCAGATGTTTCTAAATTCCATTTCATGATTTTTAAAGACTGATATTAATTCTTCTGTTGCATATACAGCTGAGACACGAATTTCTCTGTGCATATATCAATTTACAATTTCATGTGTGATGTCAGGAAAGAAGAACTGTGATCACTGGTATTTATACTACCTGTTAGTTTTAGTGATTGGGAAAACTTTGCTTATGACAAGATGTTCATAATAAAAATCCTTCTGCTTTGAGGAGCATTTAACAGTCTATACCTCACATTGAAGGTGTGTGTGATGGATGGAAAAGAGCTGAGAGATGAGTTTAATGCCTTTGTCTTCTCCTTGTAGAAAATAAAAGTTGAAAAGGTCATTTGATTTCCAAAACTTAGTCCCCTATGGTTGTATTAATTCAGTCTTGAAGGACCTGGAGATACCTATTCGAGAGAGATGTATTCTCCAAGTTGTAAAGCTCTTCCTTGCTCCTTATAGCAAACACAAGTAGATTGGTAAATAAATTCAGCAGTATAAGATCCATAGTAGTAAATCAGCCACAACAAAGTCTGACACAGAACTGAGATGAGACATGACTGCCAGGTCTCTCCACAACAAAATTTGTTGTGTAAAATTGCAGGGGTTCCATGATCTGGGCACATTGGCAAGACATGTAAATGAAAGTCCCTGAACATATGAAATATTTTGATAATAATCACTTTAGACCTGCAGCGTGAAACAAGCTGGATCAACTACAATCACAAGACTCTTGAATGACATGGCAGCCACGAGGATATCCAATAGAGGAAATGAATTTGCATTCTTCCCTTTTCTGTATCCATTTTCCAGCATTCCCACCTTTTTTCAGTTGACTTTGTCTGAAGGCACAGATACAGGCAGTTTGTCCCATGCAGTTCAGCAGGAGATGCCCTAACACAGAATAATGTGGTGCAAAGACAGCCAGTGCAGCTCTCTCTGTAAGTCAGGTGGGGATGCCAGAGCACCCAGAGTTCTGGGAGATCATCTACACCTTCATCACTCACCCCTTTGGATCCCCCTGCAATTAATGAGTGTGCTGTCTGTAGAATTAAACAGATACATCTGAATTTGGAGGAGCAAGTGTTTAATGAATTCATTTTTGGTTTTTTTCTATTTTTAAAGGAATTGAACTGCAATCTTTGGGTTTTTTTCTTATCATGTTTGTGAAACTTAGTAAGGGCCAACTTAGAACATGTTAGTTTGCTTTGTCTCCTGTCAAAAGTCTGTAGATGATGCAGAATTGTGTGTCAGCTTTAGAACTGGTCATACCATGTAAACTTCATTAATATTTTAGGAATATCTGAATTTATTAGAAGAGCTATTTTGTGATTAATGTTTTAAGTAGCTATCCAGAAGACAGCTTGAATTCATCTTTTCCTGTGTGTGTGTTTTCTTTTTAATAATGTCTTACATTTTGTTCATTTTGTTACTGAATCTAACTTTTTTTTTTTAAATATCTGCTCTGATATTTTTTGTTATCTTGAATAAGGGAAGTACATAAACATACCCTTGGCTCCCAAGGCTTCACAACTTAGCTGGTCTGGTTCCTGCATGACTTGCACTGTTAACTGAACAGTGAAGTATTTTTTGTCCCTGTGAGGTCTGATGTTTGAGAGCCCGAATGGAGGAATTCGTAGATGGTTTTTTTCTGAGTAAGCAATGCTTATAATTTGTGCATTAATAGCTCTGGCTACTGTTACATATTTTCTGTTGTCTCAAAAGTGAAGCTTGTACTGTGTTCCCAAACTGGAGAGTATTTAGGAATTATCAGTAGTACATACACTTGCTTTTTTGGAGGTATATGTTTCTTCTCCTGGAAATCTTCAGGGTGGGTTTTCCTTTTTTTTCATCAGTTTTTATTTCAAAGCTGGAATTTAAAGAGTTAAAGCAGCACAACAACATAGGAGGTACATTCATTACAACTAATGGAATAAGGCTCCAGTTCTGCAAAACCATCTACACCTTCATTACTCACCCCTTTGGATCCCATTGGAATTAATGAGTTGCTGTCTGTAGAATTAAACAGATACTTCTGAGTTTAGAGGAGCAAGTGTTTTATAAATTTTGGTTTTGTTGTTGTTTGAAATGTCAGCATTGGGAAAGTTCTCTTCTTGTCTCCAGAAGGAGTCAGAACTTTAATAGGGAAAGTTTAAGGGACTAAACCAGCTTTAGTTTTGGAGCATCAGAACTTTGAGGTTGAGGGAGAGGAACTGTGCTTTTCTGAGAACCTTGTTTGGCAGCCTTAACGTGAGGCTGCGTGTGCTGACCTTGTCTCTGAAGTTTTTCCTGTTAGCAAACTTTGTTGTCAGGCTGGGAAATACAAAGGCATGGTTAAAAAAGAAGGAACCTTGTTGACATTTCACTGGAAATTTTTAAAGCATCAGAAAACTTCTAATGGGAAGGTTAAATGTTGGCATCGTATTAAAAAAAAAAAAGAAAAAGTAATCTTGAACTAATTTAAAGTCCACAATTAGCTGGGATCACAGGTGGAAAGAAGAAGTTTTAATGATAGCCTGGCCCAGGCCTTGAGGTAAATTATGCATAATTATTCATAACTGCTATTTTTGGCTTGCCTGCATTTGTCCTAGACCTCTGCCCAAGGAAACAATTTGAAATAATTAGTATGTGAGTGCACTGACAATGATGAATGAATCAAATGCATCTGGTGCCAAACACAGATCTTGATAAGAAGCAGATAACTTTGGGAACTGTGGATTTTTTGTTTTTAAATTTCAGAGACTGGGAACAGTTTGTTCTTTTTTTTTCCTCTTCTTTTTTTTTCCAGACTGACATGTTCAACATAGAAAATTACCACTCATTGGGCCATGATCAAAGTGCAGCTTGGAATTCTAGCATTGGGAACATGAAACAGGTCTGCACACTGTGTGTGCAACTATTCAGGGCAGAGAAAATGAAGGGGGTGTTAAGGCAAGGAACATTTTGAACGCACAGGTCAGAAAAGCCAAAAGTTAATGTTACAACAGCAAAAATGCATTGCTTACCTTACACAGGTTGCAGACACATTTTACCTAAATATTCAGCAGTGTAAATACAGCTGTGTGTCATTATTTACGGCAAAGCAAAAGCAGACACAGTAAGATGCTGTTTGGATTCCTGTATTACAACTCAGTTAAAAATGCCTCTGAAGTCTTCAGGGGTGTTTGTTTCTTTCTCTGGCTTGAATGCTCAGTTTTTCATCTGTGTAATTCACTTTACATGGGTTTAGATGCAGGTGAACATGAGGCTCTTTTTAAATTAGGAGTTTTTAATGAAGAGGGGAAACAAGTCATTTCAATTAGAATGCCCTTGTCTTCTGGGCTTCTACACCAAGTTAGCACATTTCTATCTTGTTGGACCAGTGAAAGAAGTGTTTAGTAGTTTTGAATTTGTTCATAAAAAATTGATTAAAACATTGATTAAGGCACTGCTCAGGTCAGTGACTCAATTAATTGAGCTGTGACCAGCAGTCTCTCAATGCAGAGATTATTTGGCAGCTACTTATTGCCTTGAAATTATAACATTAGGAGTAAAGTTCTCTGCAACACATGTGGCTGTAAAGAAAGATTTTTCAGGCTGAAATGCAAGGTATACATTTGATGGAAGAGCTGAGAAACCGAGACAGCTGAGCTGTTTATTCACTTTCATCTCTGATTTTCAGGTAAAATTCTTAAAATTGAGGATTTAAATTTTGCAGCTTGTTGGATGCATTGTCTTTTAAAGGAGTTCCTTGGTGACGTGCATTTGACTGGACCTTAAACTCAAATAGGATGTGTTTAGTAAGTCTTCCAATTTTTAGTTAGTCTTTAACCATCTGCTTCTGTATATAATTGTTTTTCTAGTGATTTTCCCGGTGTGAATCCTAACATTGCTCATAAAACTTACAGCTGTTTGGGTAGTGCAACTAAACTCTAATGTTGTGGTATCTGAGTTTTGAGATGTAACAAGATACCTTTGGCTGAGTATGGATCTAGAGAAGTTTTTAGCCTATCTAAGCAAAATCCCTGCTCCTAGGAGAAGTTCTGATAATACGTTTGAATCATCAGATATTTTTCCTGTACAGTTCTCTCAGGGCCATGTCCAAATTGCCTAAAATTACGGAAGTTTTTTTGTTTCCTTGCTTGTTCTTTAATCTCAGTGGTCTCTGAATCTGCTGCCTAATCTTAATGTGGGGGGAGGAGGAAGAGAGAAAATATTGTGAATAACTGTATGTTCAGTCTTTATTTGATCAGTTCAGAAACTTAAAAACCAAAAGGGGGCCCAAGTATTAAATGCTGACTCACTGAATGTGCACCATTCAACCTGTACACTCAGAGGCACAATGTCTAACTAGTAAAGGTCATTTTTACTCAACAGGCATCCTAAGATATACCTAAATAGATCCTCCATTCCACTGTACAAAACCCAGGGGACCCTTGACCCGTGGTCAAAAGCTGGAATACAACTTTTGGTTGCCCTGTAAAACTGTCCCTCTCCAGAAGTATCTGAATCCGGAGCAGATCTTGCTATTCATCAGATTTTCCCACTCTTCTTGAACACAGAGGTCCTGTGGGAAAGAAGATATACAATCACCTAATTAGGTGGTATCATAATGTGTGTGCACAGCGGAGCAGAGTTACATTTCCGTGTCTCAAAGAGCATCCAGTTGGTTGACGTTTCAGTGGCTTTGTGAAAAATGAGAGGAAATGATGTTATTTTCTGCAGTCTTGTCTTTTTGAAGATCTGGTGGGGCTGGTTCCTTTTAATAGGTGTTATGAGCTTTTCAGTCAAGAGTTTGCAGCTCTGGAGTCAGCCCACCATTGATTTGTTTTCTACACTGTCAGGATCTTTTGACCTGTAGGGAAAACTCAGCATCTTGACTTATCTGTGCTTCTCACTTGATGTTCCATGGAATGTGGGGAGAGGGTAGTGATTTTGGTAGGTGAAGGTGGTAGCTGATAGTGCAGTAATTTTTAAATTATGGTGATGGGAGCACTGGAAGAATGCCTTTCTTAAAACTAGAAGGAGCAAGATAATGAAAAAATAGGTTGTGAGCTTTTGTAAGTTGTTCAAGCTGAGTATAATCACAAAGTTTATGTAAGTTTTTGACCTTCTTGAAAGCCTTGCCACATGTTGCAAAATGCTAATGCCAGCTCTGTTCTTCACTCAGCTGTACTTCCTTAAAATGGCTTAAAATGTAATGAAGCTCAGGCTGTTTTTTCAGTGTTACTGAATTTAATGGCTCAGATATAATTCAATAGCCTGTTCCACAAGTGGCAGAACAAAGTTATTTTTATTTTCTCCTAACCCTAGATTGCCCACTAGTGTCCTGTGGCATCTTGCCTTCATAAGCAATGGCATCAGTCTTGTGTCCATTCTCATTTCTTTTGCAGAATTTCAGAAATGATTCTTGTGTAAACTAATTTTTTCACTTCACACTTTTCATCTTCCTTCACTGCCCCCTGAGACTCCAATCCTCTAAAATTTATCTGAGTCTTACCTGTTGGTTTAGGACCCAAAAAGTGTCAGATTGGCATAAAAATCTTACTGGACCCTAAAAAAGTCTAAAATGACTTTCTGCAGTCAGCTTCTTATTCCCTAAATGCCTGATGAGGCTCATGTGCATCATGAGTTACATGGAGTGTATGGTACTAGTAAAATATTACTTATCTCTAGACACCCTTATCTTTTTGCTGAGTTTGGATGGCATGAAAACACCTTGTGAAAAAGGCTGAAAGCCTTTGCTTTTAATGTGTTTTTAGAGATGTTCTTGAGCAAGTGTACATACCTTCTAAAGCAAATGCTGCTGCCAGTATTACCTGCATAGGAACCTCTTTGTCAAGTATGCACTTTGCCCCCAGAAAAGGGTTTTTTTGAGAAATTTCAATTTGTTCTGTTCCTATTAGCTGTGGCTTTGTAGCAGTTGAATTCTGCTGTTCTTTGTCCTAGCTCATAAAATGGAATATTTAGGAGATTTTTGATTGTAGGTAGATGTGTTTCTCAGTGAAGTTCCTCGGTGCACATGTTCATAGTAGGTTTATTTGCTACCAAAAGAGGTGAGTCTTGGTGAATATTTCTCTTTAATTTGTCAGTGGGGTCAATATGATGCAAATATGGATTTCTCAGTTGATGATTAGTAAGACCAATTAATACTGCTGTTAATTAAAGTGTGAAAATTGTATTGGGAATGCCTCCTGTCCTCAGTAATGTATTTGTTAGTAGAAATGTGGCAGGTTCCCTTTCCTGGTGTCACAATGTAAGGGCAGAGATCTGTGGAAAAAGAATTGACTGCTGAAAATATGAAATGTGAACTAATGAGGGTGAATGATGTTTTCTGGGGGAAAGAAGTGAGTCCTCTCATGCTGAGTAAGAAAAGGCAGAATGCTTGTCAGAGGTTTTTGTGTGTTTTTTGAACTTACCATAACTGATGTTTAGTTCTTGAAGGTTTTTTAATTTACTTTTTTTCATTATTTTCCACGTAAAAGTAGTGATGCTGCAAGGATTTGAGAACTTAGAGCTTTATAGGCCTAATTTGCTTCCTGGGAAAAGAACTGAACCCTGAGCTGAGGGAGAATAACTATTTCTTTTTTGCAGCCATTTAGAAAAAATGTTGGATTTTCAATGCAATGAAAATGAGAAGCTTACCAGACTTAAATAACTAAATAATCTAACCTAGAAAGACTCTTCAGTGGTCCTAAAACTAACTGGATTTTTATATGGCCATAGAAATAAGAGTTAATTTATTCTTTACCTATAAAATTAATCTTCCAAAGTTACCTCTATATACAGAATTTCATGTGATTTTTGTTTTGGCTTGGGAAAATACTTTGTTGTAAATTGTCATGTAATTTGAAGTTGTTGAATTTTTTTTCTATTATTTTTTACAGTGTCTTAATTTCCCAAAAACCAAAGTGAGAAGGATAATTTCTCTGAGGCAACAGGATCTGGTTCTTTGCAGATGGAAGCATAGTGTGACTAAAAGGTTTCTTTGAGGAGGAGGATATGACAGGGTGTTCTTTGTGGTGGATAAACCTATTTATTGTTACTGTTGAAGGTGTCACAGTCAGTTTGTGCACTAAGATAATAGCTGCCTCAAAGTTTATTAGGCATCTTTTATGCCTGCTAAGAGCTGCACAGACATTGAGGATGGTGATGTGTGGGTGGGGTTTTTGGTAGTAGGTTTGGTTTGGAGTTTTTTGTTTTGGTGATGGTTTTTATATGATCTTAAGCATTAAGCCCTGATGGTTCATCCTGTATCCTTGCTGTTCATTGCCATGCCAGGAGTTCATTTTTTGGTTACCCATCCTCAACTATTTACCAGCTGCCTAATCCTGTTGCCTAAAAGCAAAGAAAATTTGCTGGACAATTTTAATATAGTAAGGGAGAGAGCAGGTCTTTAATTAAAGTTCTTTAAGGTGCACAAAATATATAAGCCCAAGCATATAGGTTAGCTTTTTTTTTTTTTAAATAATAATACTAGCTAATTGTCATATCTAATAGGATACACCCAGCCTGATAATTGTCTGTCCCCAGGACCTTCCTCAGGCCCAATTGGGTGGGTGGTCTTCCACAACCACTCTTTCCTCCCATTCTTTGTCTTCCTCAGGACTTCTGTCCTGCTTGGAACAAATTCAAGGATTCTGGGCCTTCTAAATGGCTTTAACTAAAGTTATATCAAGGAAGGTGCTGGGATTATCTTGTTCTGGTACACTCTCTACAGACTAGATGCCTTTTAGCTTGCTAAAAAATCTCTATCTATTGAAAACCTTGACGAGAAACACCAAACAATCTTTTAGAATTTGGTACAAAAGTATTTCATTAAAAGCTCTATCCTAAAATTGCTACAAGATGCTGAAAGCTACATTAAAAGCTATATATGTAGAGATCTTAAGGCATCAATCCCACTGGTTTGCAGTGCAGGGCAGAGGTGGGATGCTGGGAAGGAAAGGACATTGGCAGAGGCATCCAAGTGCTGCTGACAGCCTGATAATTAACATGCAATTATTTAACTGAATTCAGCCCCTCTGTGCTGCTGGTGCAGCCCTGGACAACAAAAGTCACACATGTGTCCTTCCTAAGCTTCATTAACTCCTTCAGAAGAGAGAGTGCTGCTTTGGCATATTAATTAGCTGCCATGCTTTCTTTTACTCCGAGTTAACCCTTAGTTGATTAAAATTACTGATAATTGCAAGGCTGTTAGAGGTCTGTTTATGCAAAGTGTGCTTAAAGGAGCTTTGCTGTCAGGGTGAACAGGCAAATGGTTCCTATCATTTGGTTGGGCTTGCCCCACACTTCTCTCCTTAAAAAGAGGAAGAGCAACCAAGTTGAAAAAAAGAAGCAAAGATAAACCAAGAGAATACCAAAAGTTACTGCTAAGGAAACCAGTTTTTCTTCGCTGGAAAATAAATGGAATAGTGAAAGAGTGGGCTGATATGACTTTAACTTAGGGAATATTTTTTCGCCTATTTCTTGCACCGTGTTACAATGTATTATGCTCAGAAGTTATCAACTTTCAGAAAGTTCAATACATTTTTAAAATGTTTTACGTGACTGCTGAAAAATGTATTGTACTCCCACAAGAAAAGAGTAAGATTTTGAATTGTTTGAAACTCTTTGACTAAAGTGAAACCAAAAAAAAAAAAAGCACAGGTTAAATTAAGCTGGATCTCAGGGGTTTTTTTGTATAAATGTTTAACATTGTGCCATATTTTATATTTTTCTGTACAGGTGTAAGACAAAAAAACCCCAAATTTTTTAAAATTATTTTTTATTACAGACTTCTTTTTTCTTTTTACCTTTTTTAGACAATGAAAGCAAACAATGCTTTCCACAAAATGTTCTTATGACACTTTGCTTCAACTTTACTCCCCTATTTCTGTCAAAGAATGGAATTTCTGTATAGAAAATGTCTCCGTTTTCAGAAAATGGTATCATTAAAGCTGGCTCACTCCATCTGCATGTACAGACATTTGTATGCCAATGTTACAGAAATATCCACTTGAATTTTCTGATTCCTGGTTATTTTAAACCAGGACATCACAGTTACTGTCTACCAGGACACTGATAAAACATGAATTTCTGTTTTGAGAGGTGTTGTATTCTTTTTACTGTGATAAATCACTGTAGAGAGGCAGAGATTTCTCAAATCTATGCTACAGAATAACATCTACCATTCAAACAGAAAACTTTTTATGTGCACAGATGAGTCATTCTTAAATATTCCCATTATGCCTTGCACAATGGAATTGGTCCTTCTCAGTACTTCCACTTTTCATGTAATAAATGTAACAGTAAAAATACTTTTTCCTGAACTCGTCTGCTGCAAAAAAAGTGCTATTATCTCACTTTCAGGAACATTAAACTTTCTTTTTTTTTCTTTAGATGACCTACTTTGTAGGGTAGATATTTCTTAGAGTTCTTCCTTTTTCCACAGCCAGTCTGCCTGTTTTCTTTTTTGTGTAAATCTCAGTTTCTTTGTCACTTAGTGCATTCTAAATAATATTAATTCTAACTAAATCTTCAGTTTTCAGTTAGTGCAATATTTTATGATCATAAAACAGAAATACT